ATTGCGGACGGCTATTTTGTGGGTAAATAACGTAACGAGGGCCTTTCTGAAATAGGTCTGGGGTAATCTAATATGTATGAGCTCAACACACAGCTATTTATTTTAATCCTAGGTAATTCATATAAATTCAAGCTTTTTCTGTTTAAAAATGGTCCTATTTGTTACATTATTATGTACGTACATGTGTTTGTTGGTACTTCGTATGCTTGCCCGTCTTTAAACTCGTACTCAGCAAAATAAACACAATTTTCCTTCACAAACATGTGCTCCGCGTTCTCGTATCGAAATTGAATCGAAGAGAAGATGTGACGAAGTCTTGTTAATCCAATTCATTAGTAATCTTGCAGATCTTCGTTTCTACTACGAGTAAGATAAAGCTTTTGAGCTTTAGAGTTCGTTCGTTTCAGATAAATGATATCCACTGCTGGACAAAGGCCTTCCCCAAGGATTTCTACAACGACCGGTCTCTAAATTCTTTGTCTAAAAGAACCTAGGTATGTTACTTTTACTAACATCTAGGTATCGGTCACAATGGCAGTTCACGTCGTTCAAACTCGTAGTTGGTTCAAGTTGAAGGCCGAATTATTTAGGAAGTCTTACTTAATAAGTAGCTTAAACTTAAGTCAATGTTTGATAGAAGTTTTTATCATTATTTCAAAAATAAAGTTACATTGTAGGTACTAAGGTGAAATAATCCGCTGTATGGGCCGGTGAATCATTTAGCCTTCTGACCGTGATAAATAGTACTCCTTGATACGGCTAGCGTCGTGTTTATCGTAATAACAATATTCTATGTTATGATATGAACCGCTTTGTCGGCGTCGATCGATCGGGTATCGCCCGCAACACGTTTTCTAATAAATTTCTAATGGTGTTTCTTGCAATGTCCCACTTCAAGCAGTACTCCTGTGGCTTTGGTAGGAGTGGTTTGCAATGTGCCACGTTTCGCCGCAGTAATTTTGTTAGCACGGCCAACTCGTTTGAAAACTTTTGTAGTACAAAGTTTGTTCGTAACAGTGTGTTTACATTTTAACTTTTATTGTAACTGTATATGTGTGTGTAGTCATGATTATGTAATTATTTGTGTTACCTTGCCACCTTTGTTATATTCTAACACTTGCCTATTTAGCAGTGCCTCTTAGACTAGTATTATTGATTAATCTATATTTTGATCTTACCATTTTGGAAAAAAATCCTTCTCAAATCTCAATTATCACAAAGTAACACCGCTTTTCTTGTCTTCTGTATACTACGGAAGCTGCAGCTGGTAGCAGTATACACTTCGTAGCAGTATTCTGTTCGTAGCAGTATACTGTTCGTAGCAGTATGCTGTTCGTAGCAGTATACTGTTCGTAACAGTGTACATTTCGTAGCAGTATACAGTTCGTAGCAGACCGTACTCGTAGTAGACGCTACGTTTCGTAGTACACGTCTTTCGTAGCGGTAGTCCACTACGAAAGACGTGTACTACGAAACGATTTTAGTAAATCTCTGGAAAAAGTGTCAATATTGTAACCGGAGCTCAGACTTGCCAGCACAATGGCTCGGAAAATAAGAAAGATATTGTAAAGTCTACTTACGAGAGTTTAGAGCGCATTGTATTTTACAAAGAAGTGAAACGACGATATCGCGCAGAAGCTCGTAAACTGTGAAATTGTTTGCACATAAAGTAAACGGTTCTTGTGTCAGTGGGTGGGTAGGGCGATATGCATTGTGTTCAGAAGAAATTCTAAGAAAAGAATTGGCACAGTTGTGATGTTGTAATGACATAATTTTTTGTATTGTTTTGTAAAAAATCTCTTGATTGCTTATGAAAATAGTTGCATTTCCAATCTATCTATAATATAAAAGAAAGTCGTGTTAGTTACACCACTTATAACTCAAGAACGGCTGAACCGATTTAGCTGAAAATTGTCAGGGGAGGTAGTTTAGAGCCAGGAGAAGGACATAGGATACTTTTTATCCCGTTCAAAATAAAAAAAAAGTCTGCTTATTTATTGCCATTATGGCGGAACAAAGTTCGCCGGGTCAGCTAGTTAGTAATATAATTTGCGCAAGGGTTGAAAACGTAACCCTTTTTCGGATGACTGAACTTACAACACACTTACATAATAATATTTACAAATAATTGTTTGTTTATTCGTAAAAATTTTATGTAGCATATTGACGAAACTGTTCATTGTAACAAACAAATTAAAAAAGTACTTTATTTTGCCTGTTAAACCCAAGAGCACGTAAATTCTTACTTTTAAGGAGCCATTATTTGGAAATGGCAAAACATCACAAGGATTTCTCAAGTTCGTGCAAAGTTAAAACACAATTTCTGTGACGACGGGACGTCCTTAATGACTTATTCATTGTCGGATCTTACAATAATAGCAGTGGATTAAGAAAGTCGATTCGAGAGCCACTCTTTTACAAATTACGGAGTTATTGAGGGATTACCAGAATTATCGAGGGAGTCACAGAATATAAGAATACAGCGGTTGTAAATGAAAGGAAAATAAGGAGTACCTACTTCTACTTAAAGGCCACAACTTATAAAAGGGAGAAAAATAGAGCTAGAGAGATCGCTGCTAACCATTAGAGGAATATGTCTAGGTGTTGATGGGCGTAGTGACAAAGGATAAATAAAATGGAAAGAGATTGGTGGCAGCTGGCGCCTCGTCGTGACCTCTACGGAGTGCCAGAGTGCCTCGCCTCCTGTGACTCAAGGGTTGGTTTCGGTTCTTGTGCTTTTTAGATTAGTCTTATTGATCATGCCTATTTATTTGTTCTGCTAAAAAGTTATCTAGCATGAAATTATTGAGCTATGTGACTCTGGTATTAGATCGATTTTCGGTCGATCGATTAGTGGAAAGAAAATAGATTTTAAGCACCGATTTAATCCTTTAATTAGTTTGGGCAATAAGGTATATTACACATATTTCATTTGATTTAATTGAAGTCTTAAATATTGTTAGCGTATCACAATGAAACTTTTCTATTGGAAAATGTGTCCTATTTTCCTATTTAGTTTTCTCTAATAATTTCGCCTAACTTTCGGGCACGTAGCTTTTATTCTAACAGCGGCTCGTTGCGGAGTTTCGTCGTGTTAATAAGTTCGCAGTTTGCATATTAATTTGAGTTTCAGTCAAAACAAACGTCAGAGACACGCCCCCAGACGCGAGGGTAGCGTGTAGATTGGTAAAGTTTATTGAAATTGATTTTTTGTTAACGAATTGAATTAATTAAGGCTGTGAATTTAAATTGTACACGTGTGTCATTTGAGGTTATATATTTTATTTAAGTACATAAGTAACATCAAAGTATTAAGTGTTACTCGTAATTGCAGTTAGAAACAATACAGAGTAGTTTTAAACTTGCAAGTGAACAGCAGCGCTACACAAAAGTATGATTTTGGAAATTTCCTTAGATATGGAACCCGTTACAATTTAATGATTTTGAATATTAAACAGGAAGAACAGCCCTTTTAAAAGCGAGAGCCGTTTGAATAAAACATTCAGAAGATTTATGATGAAGGCTGGTAGGGCCAGTTAGTCTGAAAGGGATTTGCACGACACCGTTATAAATGATAAAACGGGTCGCAGCCGGCTTCAAAAGCGGGAACAATATGACATATTCTACGAGTATTACAATATTAATCAGAAAGATGTGATACGAGATAATAGTTTTATCATCAATACAGTTTTCTTCAGACCGCACGAAACTGACAAATAAAAGAAATTGTTAGGGAGAAATTTGCAACGGAAACGGCTGTATTCGCCAGGAATAAAACAATATGCTGATTTTGGTTTTAAAATGTTTGTCGTAGTCCAGGGTAGGTCTAAACGGTGAGCAAATACGCGCGCGATATTGTTTTTCTGTGACAGACAAAATTCCACGGGGGCGAAGCCGCGGGCGGACAGCTAGTTTTGAATAAACATTCATCCTTAGTTATTTATTTTCATTTCAGTTACATTTAAATTCTAATAGTCTCGCGATTTCAATGCAAAGTTCACAATTTGAATGTCGATAGAGTAATCAAAGCGCACTTGGCACGCAATCGGCGGACTACTGATATGAACGACTGCAACGAATGGTAGAGCCATTGGAAAACAACATTTAAGCCCGGGTGATAGCGTCCTCAGAATTGATCGGAACTGGTGTGCATGATTTCAATGATGAAGGTCAAATAGGATGACCAACGTTTGTAAGTTTGCGAAATTAATAAATAGGATTATGGAATTACAAGCTGAGAAAAGGGTTTAGTTGTATCTCTAAGTACATCTTTTTTGTGTCTTGATCATATGCAAAATTCCGGGAACAAGTACCTTACAATGCAATTTGATTAAACTGACGCAAATACTTATAGTCCGGTATGTGTCTCAGTCATGGTCACTTCTCTCTGAGTGTGACGCCGCTGACGTCATGGCTCCCAGCTGACTGTCAACCGTTCGCTCGGTCATTTCCGGATATCGGTATGACGTAATCATCGTGAATATGTGAATTTGCGGGAAAAAACGAGCGGAGTCATGACAATAACGTTTTTGCCGTAAATGATTTATTGATTTACTTGGCTTTGCCTACAACTCCGCTCGCCCGAAAGTCGATAGGTTAATTGAATGTAGGATTGTTTCCCTCAGGAAGTCTATTGTTACTTGGACTGGAAAGTGAAAATGTTATAAAATATACACGTTTCAACGCGAAACAAAAGCAAGAGAATGTCGTTATTTCAATCTAATCGCACAAGGGATGCTATTGAAGCGCAAATAGCCCTAACAAAAAAGATACGACGTCCATTCTATCAATAAATAGGGACTCGAACCGTCTTTACCTTTGTTTCAGAACTTTTCTAGATGTTTTTACGGAAATAAGATCCTTTTGTCACCCAGATGTTTGTTTCTATCAAATTATCCTTCTTTGGTTTCTTTTTTTATACTTTTGTAGACTGTAAATAATTTTAAGACAATCAAAAAATTTATTCAGCGATTTTAATGGATTGTTTCTTTCTTCCCCAGGGTATGGCCTTCTCAATCGAGGAGAGGCAGGTGCTCGGCATCCACGGTCTGCTGCCAGCCAGGGTGAAGAGCCAGGAGGAGCAGGTCCAGCTGTGCAAGCTGTCTATCGACCGCTACGAGGACCCGCTCAACAAATACATCTATCTTATGGGATTGCTTGTGAGTTTACCTTTAATAATACAAAACATATCTTTAAATATTATTTACCACTAATCATACAAAACATGTCTATAAATAACTTCTAAAAATGGGATGCTAAAATCAATGGTACACAATAGAAACAAGGAAAATACCTCAAGAATATCTACAAGTTTGATATTTTAGAAGCTATCGATTCTTTTAAGCAATAATTTTCATGCGTCATCCAAGAGATCGTAATCGAATAGAGGTCGCTGACATACCTTACCGGATTAGCAGCTAAACTAGGCCATACAGCGTTATGGAGGGCCGTTGGGGAATAAAGGTTATGCTCCGAGCAACGACATACTTAGGTATAAAGCGATGGAGCAGTTACTGCTTATGGTTTGTTCCCTAAACTAGGTAATCAATAGTGAAAGAACTAGGGTAAAACTAGGTATTGGTTTGAGGTTAAAAATATGATGATGATGATGTCAATTCTAAAAGCAAAGTAAATATAGTAGTTTTAATCTGATCGTTAGTCGTCACACAATTGAGTTTATTATGATAAGATCGAGATAAGATAATACGTAATTTACTGCTGCGAGGTGCAACCTTGCAAAATACTTTTATAGGTTTACTTTTTATTCAGAAGTAGATACTTCTCATATTAACGCCTACATATTTTAACGAAAAGATGCTATGAGCGCCCTTGAGTTAGAACTCCTACCTAATTGACTTAAGCGCGTGAAACTCTACCACTAGTTATATGCCTCTAAATTTGACAAGACACTCCTATGATTAAAACCTGCTTACTCAGTGCCAGTTAAAAATCGTGTTAAAAGCATGAGGCAAGAGGTTCCGTCAAGCGTGGTTCCCGCCGCGGGCGTCTTGCAAGCCCGCAAGGTCATCCCCTATGTCATGGATTTAATAGCCATTAAAAAGTGTTGCGAAAACTTGCTACAGTTATGACGTCCAAGGCAAGCACTTATACTGTAAAGTTATACGAAAAATATTCAGCGACTTGTCTTACAAAAGAGGAGCAAACTTGTCATAATTTTATGGTTATCTGTCAGAGAAATGCAATCACTGCCAATTTCTCCTATCTTATTTACGTAATCGGATCGGTCGATCAAACGTAATGGGAATCCTACTAAACTTAAAATGTAGTCATGATAACAACAATCAGCACACTGCAAACTTAGGCCTTACAAGGCTACGCCGATAATTTCCTCCTCTCACAGTGAGAATGGTGGTGCTCTGACAGTGATTTAACATTTATAGGATCGCAAATATTAATGCCTCGTCACGTATCTTGACAAGGTCGTATTTTTCGCACCCATTAATGGTTATTATCCATTAAGCTTACCTTTATGCAAAACTCGTGAGTATAATATTGATGTACCTAAAGAAAATAGCGTTTTATAAGAATGAACAGTGAATACATCAATGATGAAAATGAGTTATTTGATGTTAATAAGCCTAAATGCAGTCTTGGATAGTAAAAAAAAACTCGTAAGCTTATTCACTCTTGCAGACTTGCTTTAAAATGAAGTCAGAGTCAGTCATAGAATAAATTAATCGGAATTCGGAATACAACTTTATTCGCCAACGTCCTCTCTTTAGATGGAAAGTTCAAATGTTTTTATTTTATTTTTTTGGTTTATTCAGAAAACAAACAGCTTACAAATACACAAATTGCATAGATACAGTGTAGTTAGTCATAGTCTATAGTTTTCAACTCTATGTTCATCTCTACCATCTCGCGAGCCCATGCGCCCGTTGTGGACGCGGCTTAAGAGAGATATGCCATATACTAAACTGGCCCCATTTCCAGGACCGCAACGAGCACTTGTTCTACCGCTTCGTCGGCGAGAACGTGGCCCAGATGCTGCCCATCGTGTACACCCCAACTGTGGGCCTGGCCTGCCAGAAGTACGGGCTGGTGTACCGGCGCCCGCGCGGTCTCTTCATCACCATCCACGATAAGGGACACGTCTATGAGGTGCTTAAGAACTGGTAAGTGATCATTTAAGTTTGGGATTTTGGAGACAGAGGAGAGTTGCAAGTAACAGAGGTTCTTTGAAATTTCTCTGAATCAACAGTTTATCGATCTATCAACTTCGCGAAATTATTATCTTTGGATAAGTACTCTAGTTTTGTAAAATGTTAAGCTCGCTAACTGTCGTAGGTGCAGACAAATTGGTTTTCCACTCTAAAACTCTCCTGTTCACCTTTTCCTTGTTTTATTTCTTTCTCCATAGAGTGCTTTCAGTAAAGAATTATTTTTACGTCATAGGCCTGAAACAGACGTCCGTGCCATCGTGGTGACCGACGGCGAGCGTATCCTCGGTCTGGGAGACTTGGGAGCGTGTGGTATGGGCATCCCTGTCGGCAAGCTGGCGTTGTACACCGCTCTTGCGGGCATCAAGCCACACCAGTGCCTGCCCATTACACTAGGTAAGAAATGAAGAAAGAAAAAATGACGCTTCACGTCTTACTAAGGCCCAGAACAGACGGTGAAACGCAACGAAACTGCAACTTCTGCTAGTTACTTTTGAGTTGCATCTAAGTTTCTGCCATAGCGTCCGTTGAGAGACCACACATGACGCGACCAGTTTGAAACTTTCAGTTTTATCTATCAGAATCATCAGAAAGTTGCAGTTTCGTTGCAGTGCGTTTCACCGTCTGTTCTGGGCCTTAGAGGCAAAGGTCTACTGTGTTCAAAAAAGATTCACGTAAAAAGGTCCAAAAATTTCTTCGTAGTGGCAAAGGTTGAAAGCAACTTGAAGTGGTTTTCTTTCAATTAGCTTATGTATCATCCATACTCGAGTGAATATGTATGATTCTTCTAAGCTTTTATTACTTACCGAGATGCAGGTCGATGCAAACTCAGTTGTAAGAAAAAATACAGCAACTCATAAACCCGCTCTTTTCCATAGACGTTGGTACAAACAACCAAACAATGCTGGATGACCCGTTATACATCGGGCTTCGTGAGAAGCGCGTGCGCGGCGCGGAGTACGACGAGTTCGTTGAAGAATTCATGCAGGCAGTCGTGCGCCGCTTCGGACAGAACTGCCTCATCCAGTTCGAGGACTTCGGTAACGCTAATGCCTTCAGGCTGCTGGAGAAATACCGTGGCAAGTGAGTAACTGACCTCTAATGATTCGGATGTTTTGTTTCTCAGGATGAACAGAAGAGACCCGTAGTCCAGTGGTCCCCTGAGACCGCATAATACCAAAAATGTGGCCGTCTCCTTTCTGTCTAGTGCAGAAAGGAGACTAGTACTTAGTAGCTAACGTAGCGATATTTGTTTTTATATTTTAGAGAGTGGTATTTAAATTTGTAAGTGTATTGTTACAGGTACTGCACATTCAACGATGACATCCAGGGTACCGCGTCAGTGGCAGTTGCTGGTCTGCTGGCCAGTCTCAGGGTTACCGGCAAGAAGCTGTCCGAAAACACCATCGTTTTCCAGGGAGCAGGAGAGGTAAGAATCAAACCCAGAAAGAATTCATCCCGCCAAAGTCCTAGGGCTTTTTACTGGACTAACTTAAAAAAAGAGATCAAGGACTCACCTATATTCTCAATCCACAGGCGTCTCTCGGTATCGCCGAATTGTGCGTGATGGCAATGAAGGCTGAAGGCACACCTGAGGCCGACGCGCGTGGGCGCATCTTCATGGTGGACTCCAAGGGACTGATCGTGAAGAACCGTCCCGAGGGAGGCCTCAACGAGCACAAGGACAAGTTCGCAAAGGAGCAAGCACCCGTGCGCACTCTGGAGGAAGTCGTTGACCAGGTCAAGCCATCAGTGCTTATTGGTAAGTTTTCTATTAATTCTAGGCCTTGTGGTTTCGTCAGAACAGAATAGGACCACTCTCTCTCTTCCCGTGGATATCTTGGAGGCGACTTCGTCAACGTTCAGCATGGGAAATGTAGGCTCAATTACCAGCTCCATCTGCCGATGATGATAACCTAGTGGTACCAGAAACAGTTCATCAAAAACATTTACGCCTTTCTTCTTTTGTTATAATAGCGCGATGTTTTTTCTCATGACATGTGTCTTGCCTTGGATAATTTGTACCAGACAAATCTGGTATTTTAGTCTCTTCTGTACTGTAAAACCAAACAGCTGCTAACGTAACTTCTACATTATAGGTGCCGCGGCCATCGGCGGCGCGTTCACGAGCTCCATCCTGCGCAAGATGGGCCAGTTCAACGACCGGCCCGTCATCTTCGCGCTGTCCAACCCCACCAGCAAGGCCGAGTGCACTGCCGAGGAGGCCTACAGCAATACTGATGTATGTATGACATAGCTAACCACATCTCTTATTTAATTGGATGTGACCACAATCTCACTTGACGTCCACCATTGTTATAGTCAGAATTAATCCAGAAGCGAATAAATTTAGAAAAGTATTTTAAATTGATCCAACCTGAAAACCGATATGAAACCAGTTGATTCAAGGAACTTTACCGTGCCAGTATCTAATTAACGAAGAACCGTTTGTATTCATTAATGCTACGATGGCGATTTAAGAAAATTAGGTAGCTATGTTAACTTCAGATCAAGAGAAAGGAGAGTAGAGTAAGCTGTCACTGCTAGTGGCTAAGACAGAAGGATTATCGCATTTGCACTTACCACTACTGTAGAGTAAGGTCCTTATACTTGCCAATGGTGCTAACTGTTAAGTAAGTAAGTATAAAAACAATAGCCCAATGATAAGGAAATACCTTTACAAGGAACAAAATCACCTTATACTAAACCTTACCTGCACAGGATCGCGCGATCTTCGCATCAGGCTCGCCATTCCCCGACTACCGCACAAAGGACGGGCGCGTGCTGCGGCCCGGGCAGGGCAACAACGCCTACATCTTCCCCGGGCTCGCCCTCGGCATCATCTGTGCCGGCATTGTCGATATTTCTGATGACTTCATGCTGCTCGCCGCTGAGGTAAATTCACTTTATATTTATAATGGTGCATCCACACTGGGCGAAAGCGCTCGCGCGGCAAACTCAACATCCTGCTCACTCAAGAGCAGGGTGAGCAGGATGACCAGCGTGCCGCGCCAGCCCGTGCGCCCTATGTGGACGCACCATAAGAAAAACGGTGAGTCTTTACAGCCTTAAAAACTAATACGCACGTAACGGAGCTGACAAGGTGGCAATGTAAAAAGATCACAGTCACAGAACTTGAAAGTATTGTACTTCACCTTCGATCACATAGTACTACTCCAAAAACTATGTTTTATGCCTGAAAGAAAAGCATGTGTGCTTTTCAGGAACAAGACATAGTTCATAGTTCAACATTGTATGCTTATGCACCTTATGGATAACTAAATACAAACCTCTTAAGGAACCTCGCAGGAGTTGCTCTCAGTTTACAATGATATCGTAATTACAATGTTCTGATGATCATAACAACAGGAAATAATACCTACTTTATTTCTTATGTTTTCAGGCGTTGTCAGACATCGTGTCACAGACAGACTTGGACAAGGGAAGCTTGTACCCCCCTCTAGAGGAGATCCAGAACNGCTTCGTGAGAAGCGCGTGCGCGGCGCGGAGTACGACGAGTTCGTTGAAGAGTTCATGCAAGCGGTCGTGCGCCGTTTCGGACAGAACTGCCTCATCCAGTTCGAGGACTTCGGTAACGCTAATGCCTTCAGGCTGCTGGAGAAATACCGTGGCAAGTGAGTAACCTTCAAGGTTTTTTTTTTCGTAAAATCGAGAACTCTTGTTTCTCAAGATGATCAGAAAAGATTCGCAGTCCCGTGGTCTTCTGTGATTCAATTTGTAAGTGTTTTGTTACAGGTACTGCACATTCAACGATGACATCCAGGGTACCGCGTCAGTGGCAGTCGCTGGTCTGCTGGCCAGTCTCAGGGTTACCGGCAAGAAGCTGTCCGAAAACACCATCGTTTTCCAGGGAGCAGGAGAGGTGAGAGTCAAATCCATAAGGATATCATCCCTCTAACCGCCAAAGTACTTGGACTTATAAAAAAGAGAATAAGGACTCACCTATATTCTCAATCCACAGGCATCTCTCGGTATCGCCGAGCTGTGCGTGATGGCAATGAAGGCTGAGGGTACACCAGAGGCTGAAGCACGCGGACGCATCTTCATGGTGGACTCCAAGGGACTGATCGTGAAGAACCGTCCCGAGGGAGGCCTCAACGAGCACAAGGACAAGTTCGCAAAGGAGCAAGCACCCGTGCGCACTCTGGAGGAAGTCGTTGACCAGGTCAAGCCATCAGTGCTTATTGGTAAGTTTCCTATGAAATTAATTCTAGGTCAGATTTATAGTGTAGTTTCGTAGTAGTAGTAGGAGAATAGGACCACTCTCTCATGTGGATGTCGTGGAGGCGTATTAACGTTATTGAGGTCTCTCCAACCCATATGTTCAGCGTGGGAAATGTAGGCTAAATTACTAGCTCCATCTGCCGATGATGATGATCTAGTGGTACTAAAGCCTGGTCCGTGAGCACGTAGAATTTTGTCCGGTGACCCCGAGCTACCCATCCTTGTCGCTCGCGCGTAATTATGTTGCTGTCGCGCTCGCACACTCACTGCGGGCGCCCGTCGCACAGTCGCGACAGCAATATCATTGCACGCGAGCGATAGGGATGGGTAGCTTGGGGTCATTGGACAGGATTCTACGTGCTCACGGACCAGGCTCTAGAAACAGTTAATTTCCCAAATAACTTCCACGTATTTCTTCTTTTACTATAAAAGAGCAATGTTTTTTATCATTTAGTGTCTTGGCATGGATATTTGTAATTTGTCTGGTATTTCAAATAAAGCCTTTTCTGTGCCACAAAAACCAAACAGCTCCTACATTATAGGTGCCGCGGCCATCGGCGGCGCGTTCACGAGCTCCATCCTGCGCAAGATGGGCCAGTTCAACGACCGGCCCGTCATCTTCGCGCTGTCCAACCCCACCAGCAAGGCCGAGTGCACCGCCGAGGAGGCCTACAGCAACACTGACGTATGTATAACACGGAAAATTTCACAGCTCTTATTTTAAGCTGCATCATACTCGATCGGCTGTGACTACAATCTCACTTCATGTCAAAGTTATAAATACCTAAGACATTCAATTGATTCAACCAGAAAACCGATTTGAGAACCATTTAATTCAAGGCAATTTACCGTGCCAGTATCGATCGTTGGAATTCACCAATTCCATAATCACCCACACTTTACAACTTAAGATGTAATGGACCACTGGCAAAAAAAAATTGCCCATAGATCGACTAGTAGAACTCCGTGGTAGTAGGACCACAGGCAAAAAAGGGATCCAATGAAATCATTTGATTTTTTATCCTGTCTGATGCTTCGCACTCCTATCTCACGCTATGCATTGACTTACCGACACCACAAACTCGTATTTAAAGCTGAAAATTGTATCTTGTCGTTACTATATTACACGCAAATACTGTATGTATTACTAACCTTGTATTCCATCTCAGGACCGCGCAATCTTCGCGTCAGGCTCGCCATTCCCCGACTACCGCACGAAGGACGGGCGCGTTCTGCGGCCCGGGCAGGGCAACAACGCCTACATCTTCCCCGGGCTCGCCCTCGGCATCATCTGTGCCGGCATTGTCGATATTTCTGATGACTTCATGCTGCTGGCTGCTGAGGTAATTTTCTTTATATTTATGAGAAAAACGGTGGATATCTGCAGGCTTAAAAACTAATAAGCACGTTACGGAGCTGGTAAGGTGGCAATGTAAAAAAAACAGTCACAGAACTTGAAAGTATTAGACTTCACCTTCGATCACATACTACTCCAAGAACTAGTTTTATGCCTAAAAGAAAAGCACGTGTGCTTTTCAGGAACACAATAATATTTCATAGTTTAACATAGTGTGCTTATGCGCCTTATGGATATCTAAATACCAACCTCTTAAGGAACCTCGCAGGAGTTGGTCGAGTTTACAATGATATCGTGATTACAATGTTCTGATGACCATAACAACAGGAAATAATACTTACTTTATTTCTTATGTTTTCAGGCGTTGTCAGACATCGTGTCACAGACAGACTTGGACAAGGGAAGCTTATACCCACCTCTAGAGGAGATCCAGAACTGCTCCGTGAAAATCGCCAAAAAGATCGTCGAACACGCATACCAAATCGGTGAGATATTCTTCGTACAAATATATTCATCAACGCAAACAAAAACCTAAGAATTAAGGTTTTTTTAAAGGAAAATATTGTTATCTCCATACACAATATTTAATCAAGCTATTAACGATTGTTTTGAGTCAGCCTGATACTAAATATTGTGTCTTACAAGAACGAGATAAAGGCTCAAATGGCTTTTCCAGTTTCCACCTGACCATGAAAAACCACTCGCCTTAATGGCTTGTTGTTCTGAATCATACGGTATAACCAACGGTGGTGTACTGTTCTATTATGTTTATTAGCATGATGTCAAATGAACCGCAAAGTTGCCATTAAGTATGGTTGTCATTGCCATGCCTCCAAGGTATTATGGTTTTTGTTTACATTTAACGATACAATAGGTTTCATTTAAGTGTCGCATAAGACATAATTTGCAAGACATCTGTCCCAAGTAACAATCATTCAAAGTCAAACAATTTATTTGGAAAGTACCTACACAGTGCATAGAAAATCTCGAAACAGTAAACTACAATTTTCACAATGATATTGATAGTGCTGTAGTGTGATATAATATTAATAGAACTTGATAGAATATTGTAGTTCTGCGACCTCCTAAGGGCCTGAAGCGCGCGGACCGGTTCACTATGAGCAGCGGTGGGCATCCGCGTCAGTTTTAGCGGAGGACCTCAGTTAAGAGTATTTATATGCGGATCCATCACGTTGCGTTGACCTTCTTAGCCACATGAACTAAATTAATTTATGTTTTTTATCCCAGGCAAAGCGTCAGTGCTGCCGCAGCCCCTGGACACGGAGAAGTTCATCCGCGCGCAAATGTACGACGTGCACTACGCCGGCGCCGTCCCGCCCGTCTACTCGTGGCCCGCCTCCACGGTGCGCGTCGACATGGTCTAACTACCCACCACACGCTAAGTGCTTGTTCACGTAGGTACGCGCGGGCGCGGGCGCGGGAAACGTTGCGAGCTCGTGTTCACATTAACCACCAGGCGTTCGCGCGAGTGTGACGTACTATCGTTTCTAGCGACAAGTTCAAACTGGTTGAACTTACGTGACGTCGCGAGTGAAACGCGCGCGCCGCCGCTAGTTTGACATGAACACACACAAACATCTTCACGCGTTGAAATTACCGCGAGCGCTCCGCGCGCACCAGTCGCTAGCTTGCCCGCTAGTTGGACCGCACCTGCGATTCGTACGTGAACACTTGCAATCACTACATATGTTTGTTATTTCGTCACCGCGCCCGCCACCGCGCCCGCGAGTCAACGTGAACAAGCACTAACGCCCACTAGTAAACGATTTTCAGATTTCGTCCATTTGCGACGACAGTGTGGCATCTCCAATTAGATTAATGTAGATGTCACAGTCGTCGCAAGAGCACGATTTGAATTTAAACACTGTTGTTCATCAAAGTGGCGACGAGACGAGATGCAAACCAATAGGACATCGTTATGCGAAGCTGTACGCTTTATCGGCCTTCCACACAAATATGTCGCACTGAGCGGGAGAGACCGGAGCTGGGACGAAAAGAGAAAAAGTATTCGCTCCGCTTCGTTAGAAATAATCAACCTGCTATGCCGCCCGTCTCAGCACATCTTGTCGCGTCTCCAATTTAGTGAAAAGTGGTACTTTTACTCAATCACCTAAAAAGCTAAAGTGAGACAGTGCAGATGTCTTGAAATCGTTTACTAGCACAGCCTGAAACGTATTGTTTTAATTTCCATTATGGTGGTAAATCTTGGCTAATAGGTAGTCGATGTCTCTGTTCATAATTAATTTGAGCATTGTTTCAAGTTTCGGGCAGAATCTAAAGGACTTTATTGTGGTACCACGATCTTTGTTTGATCGTATTACAGATTGGCCAGTCACTTCAGCGATGAAAATTGATTACACAGTTCCAATGGAAAACAAGATCAAAGATCGTGAAACTACACTATGCGCAGCTGTGATTTACATAAACATAAAGGAATTATGTGTATCGCAGTTTTGTAGAGGTGCATAATATCCGCATATTTCGGAAGTGCTAAAACTGGTTTGACTCATTAAATAAAAATATGCATGTTTTCCTGATATACCATCCGTCATGTTTTTCTCTCTACAACATTCGAAATATGCAGATATTAACTCGCAATTTCCTAGCGCGTAAAATACGTGTAAACACCAATTAATTTAAAAGGTGCACCAAATAACACTATGAATAAATTCATCTGTCATCTATTTCAATAAATGTTGTTAAAATTGATCGAGCTCACCTGGGCAATGTGACGTCACAAATTCCATTATAAATGTTTTCATCGTGTCACGTTAAATCATTTTTATCTTGATATCGATCTAAAACATCTTGCTTCTTAGTAGTAATTTTAACTATTTATAATCATACATGTTTTTCATTCTAAAATCTGTTCAGAGCGCTTGCAATGATGTATTGGCCTGTATTAAGCAATGACCCTCAAGTATGAGTAAACTCTTGAGTTTGAACCAGGATTTGAGCTTCATTACATAATACAAGCCTGGAGGAGAGATGGCGTGGGAGAATTTGTCGTCCATTCGATTAGGATTTACGCAATTAAAATTAAAAATTGTTGATAGATCGGATAGTTACTTCATGGGCGTAATAGATGTTGACGACAGTAAAATTATTTGTGCCCATTTTTTGTATATTACAGGGTGAAATTATTTATAGTACCTAACGTTATAGATGTAGTTACCATTTTGTTTATTTATATGCCAGATGTACTTCAATAAATAAAATTGAATAAGCTATTGTAAAAATATCGAATGTTGATCATTTTCAGAAAATATTACCGCATTTATTATAAGCTTGCACATGTATCTTACCATGTTTAGCCATTCCAAATCGTTATACCTATTTAATACTGCTACTTATGTTATTCCTAGAACGAGCAAGTACACCTAGTGCTCGATTGCCTACTTCAAATGAATAATATTGTTTAAGTTAATATGAATATGTATGAGGTATTTTTATGAAAATTTTAATATATTTGATGCGAAGTCGTAGCTATTTGTCTTTTCTTTTCTTCATCCTCTACACTTCCTTCACACACATACCACTTGCAATATTTTTTTACCAGAATAGATTACAATCATCACAATAATTGTCAAGACAGGTCCTATGAATACTGTTAAAATGAGATGTGCGTTCCCTTCGAGAGGCCACTGTGGAAAACGCAGGCGAGTTGTAGCGTCCACCTTACAACATCTACAAATTTATCATTCTGCTAAATCTTTATGAACCTTCCTTTTCCACAGTGGCCTCTCGAAGGGAATGCACATAAAATGAGCAGTGTAAACACCGCTTAATTAAAATTGGAAAGAATTACCGTGGAGCCCGCAATGTCTTGGACCGCGGGTTTTTCACAAAATATAAAACTAAGCAAAAACATCAATAAACAATAGAACGTCAGAAAAACAAGTCAAAAGCAGAAATGTAACCTAACAAAAACAAATGAATGGCGTCAGAATGATGACAAAAATACAATACTCGTAGTCAATAAGTCGATCATTTGGAAAGTTAAATAATTCAGAATGTATAATGCCGTCTACGATAAAATTGCTGATTGATGTTAATATCGTCAATGTAGGTCTTCAGGATTTATAAAAAAAAAATAGATCGCTTCGTATTAAACAAATGAAAATACCACATAACGTTTCAGACCGACAGTCTTTATTTCGAATAATTATTTTATAAATACAAATTGAGAAGTACCGATTCACAACAAAATATTACCTAGATTACAATGTTCGACAAATAATTATCACTTATCACTTCATTACTGTACAAGTTTTCACAAGTCGCGGGCGGGCTCACCGCGACAGGGAGTGCGAGCGAGAGCGCGCGCCCGCGCCGGCGCCGTTGCAGCGCGCGCGGTCATTGCCTGCAACACACACGCCGTTATTGTAGTACATGGTGATAGAACCAGGTTTACACCGCCAAGTCATGCGATAGACAAATTATACTATGTGTTAAGCTTCAGCCAAACCAACGCTTGTAGATCATATTATCATAGGCCAATGACAGGACGCGCGACCAATAGACAATTTGATTCCCCAATAATTCTAAATCATAACTTTTCTAAAAAGACATTTCATCATTCTGGTCTTAAAAACTTAATTAATTTTAAATTACCTGTAGATTACGATTTTTGGTCGCATTGTAATTGAAAAAAGTAGTTTAATTGAGTTGACAAAATAGTGACGTCACTTGCTTGTAGTGCCATACAAATTATATGGGAGAGTTTCGTTTGACAGTTTTAAAAAGTATGTCAATTGATTGGTGGTGTCAACCATCTATAGTTCCAAAATACTGAACTGTCCTATAGATGACCCGATTTTTGCCATGTTGGAAACCATATAGTTGAACGATGGTAGCGCCCCCCTGTCATTGAGTTTGGCGGGACAGTTCAGCGTGGGTCATCTATATTACAGGACGTGTCATTGGCCTATGATTACGTCGGCGATGGCGATCTACACGCGTTGGTTTGGCTGAAGCTTAAACATTGCTACATGGCTTGTGCAGCGCGTGCGACGTATAAAACTGCGCGATAAGGAAGATCGTCTCGCGCTCGCACGCTACATACCGATGTAAATGTACCTAATTCCCGTCAATAAAAAAACAATCAAACATGAGAACTTAAATTAAAAATGAGAATGTTAGAAACTTGCCACTTTACTGTACACATACATATTACAATACACATTTTGTTAATTTTCTTTATAAAATAACTTGCTATCTTTGAAATTCGGCGAAAGAACTCGGCTTGTATAAACCTAGCTGAACAATAAGAGTAACAGCAGATGCCGTGAGCATTAGGATGGTCCTTATTTTTCGACTTTTGAATTATCCCCGGGGCACTTTCTCATTCGATTATAAAATATGTATACCTCTAAATATGAAATTAGCTTTTTTTGTTTTTTTTTTTTTGGTTAAGATTTAGAGGTCGCTACCAGCTGTCAAAATATTTACAAAAAGCTTTGAAGATCTTAAATCATGGTTTTATAAATGTTTTATTTAAGTGTTTATATCACATTTTACGTGCAAATGAACATCGCATAGATAGAATAGACAATCGCTTCTTGTCCCCTTCTCCCCTTAACCCCTCTTCTGTACCGACCATGGTACCGACGCCGACGCGTCGGTACCATGGTACATAGACGACTTGTTAGTATCTCGACAGATACTAACAAGTCAACTCTTATATCTTAAAAATAATTGATTCAAATATGTACATTGTAAATAATATCTTAGTTCATAGCAACAACAATAATTTTGTAATATTTTTATTTGGCTTTGGCTAAAAATAAATGAATCTAACAAATACAGATTTTGTGTTTTTACTTAAAATTCAAACCTTGGTAGTGACCCCTAAATGTCTTTTAAAAATTAAAAAAATAATAATGAAAGACTTTCATATGGTATATATTCAAATTACGTGGTGCCCCGCAAAATATAAGAAAAAAAATTTTTTCGTAGGAATAAGGACCACCCTAGTGAGCATGGGACGGTTACCCTGACTTCTCAAAAATAACAATTTTGGAATCATTTGACTAAAGAGTGACCGTCCAGGAATTCTCGCGACATTGCATTTATTTCCATTGACTGATAAACGATCAATATCTTTTGGGTAATATGTTATTGACAAAGGAATACTTCCACAAAATAATCATGAAAAATATTCTTTATAAAAAATTCGCCATTTAGTAAAGTGTCATAATATGTCAGTTGCCGGTAGTGCCGGGTTTTCATGATAGTAATTACATTTATGACATTATTTTATAATAATTATAGAATGGTCATCCTTTTAAAAACTAAATTGGTGCCATTCGATGCCAATTAAAACGAATCGGAACTGTTATCGTATAAAATATTTCCTAAGATCATTTCATGCTCTACAAATTTTCTAATAGTTCTAAATGTCAATTAGAGCAAAATAAAATACCGGGAACGCATTACCGTGAAAATGTTGATCGTTTCATATACAACACATTCATTAAGTAAAATAACCTGTTCACCATTTGCTGCGTTTCACTTATGTTATTGAGAGCTTTCAGTAAATGGTGAAACAGTACAAATAAAGTATCAGAAGAAAAAAATACGAAAAGAAAGTCTATCTAAAATTCGTGTAACCTATATACCATAGGATAGAAAAATATATCAATATCAAACAATGTAAAAGAAACAAACAATGTTATCAACAGTGACAAATTAAGACTGAAGCGAAAATCAAATGGCACACTGACAAAACAATATTAAATTGGTCAATCATGTCGCAATATGTATTGGGGCAAGAGACAAAAAGCTTCAGAAGCAACTAACAGCAATAAGAGCCTGACCTAAGGAATGATGGCCTTGTAAACTGGTGTCCTATAACAAAATATTCGTATGTCAAACATTATTTTAATAACGACTACAAGTTCCCTAACATTGGTTATAAAATGTTAATCTTTTATTAAAAACTAATAATAATTAAGAGGTCAGTCTTCGTTAAATCTATTTATCTATTCTGTAACTCCCACGGCATTGGACTGCAGTACGGCTCGATTGACATTATTTTCATNATCTTCAGAGTATTTGAACGCGGCTCTCTAGTCATTCGAATGACGTGTCACAGGTGAGGCATCGGTTTTTATTGGCCTAGCGTGGCATACTTTTTTACTATATTACTGTATGCTTTGTACTGGTCAAGTCATTCAAATGCGTCACAGTTAGGGCACTGACCTATCTATTTAGCGTGGTTAGACGCGCTAACCTAGCCAGCCGCGAGGTATCTACGCACCAAGGCGTTAGTCCAGCGGAAGGTTGCTGAAGACGGATGATTGAACTTTTTTAACTTATGTAAGTATTATTTGTTTTATAGGAACCGTTCAAACTCGACACACCCCGGGGTACTGACCTATCTACTAATCTGCCTAGTCTGTAGCCAGACACAAGGTATCGCTACGCACCGAGGCGCTAGTCCAGCGGTAACTTGCTGAAGAACTTTTTGACTAATGTTAGTAGTATTTGGTTTATAGGAGCCGTTCAAACGCGTCACACCCGGGGCACTGAGCTATTCTTCCCAGCATGGCTAGACGCGCTAGCTCGGGAGACTAGGAGTACACACCGAGGCTTTGACAAAATGGAGATAGTTGAACTTTTTTGATCAACATGTTAGTAGTATATGAGCCGTTTACGCGTCACAGCCGGGGCACTGATCTTTCAACCTAGCCTGGCTTGGCGTCGTATATGCTTCGCACCGAGGCGCTGGTGCCGTGCCACTGACCTATTATCATCTACCCAGCGTGGCTGACGCGCTAGGCGGGAGACTAGGAGTACGGACCGGGGCGCATGTTAGTAATATATGAGCCGTTAACGCGTCACAGCCGGGGCACTGACCTATCCAGCTAGCCTGGCTTGGCGTCGTGTATGCTACGCACCGAGGCGCTGGTGCGGCGGCAGCTTGGCGAAGAAGGGGTGCGCGAGCGCGTCCCGCAGCGTGATGCGCTGCTGCGGCTCGTACTCCAGCATGCGGCCGATCAGCTCGAACAGCTGCCGGTGCTCCTCCGACGTGCTTTGCAGGTACCTCTGCGGAAACATTGGCCAAATTTATCAAATCCAGTCAGATAATGGCAACTGGCCCGTTAATATGGTTCCAGAGTGCGAATGCTACATCTAAGTTGTTATGCTTTATAAATCATCGAGAATGAGTTATTAAAATAAAACATTAACTAAATTATAGCAGTAAAGGTAGCAGGGAAGCGCTGGACGCAGGCCGCTACCAATAGATCAACATGGAAAGCATTGGGGGAGGCCTATGCTCAGCAGTGGACGTCCTATGGCTGAAATGATGATGATGAACTAAATTATAGTGAAAAAATCAATCAATTTAATCAGGAATAGCTATGCTTAGCTGTAGCCCATTTAAGCTGCATCTTAAACTAGGTCTCCAGCGCGTGTTTTGCCCTACACAATCAATAAAAGCATTTCAACATTTAACATTTTTGTAGGCAATTTCGTTGATTTTTGACATATTTTAGTTGATTGTGTAGAGCAAAACACGCTGGAGATCCGACTTTACTTTATTAAAAACAATGTTACAATAACGGGAACTTCGCTTTAGCAAATGTTTTTCACATTCCTCAGGATAACAGAGCTATCAGTCAATTTTTTTCATGCAGTAAATATCCATATAGTGGAAAAAACAATAACTTACAAGTAGTGGTTTGCAGTTTTCTCTAACGTATCTGCCTGCTGACGATTTTTCGTCCCAGTCTAATTTGCCGTGGTAGAAATATTTTGTTCTAGTTTTGCGTGCCATTCTGAAATAATAAAAATAAATTTCATTAATAAATGTACAATGTATGCAAACTCTAGTGTTTAAAATTATACAGCTAGATCCAGTGGGTCTAGTACGAGGGGCGGCTGAAAAGTTTTGAGCCTAGGTTATTAAAAATGCCGATGGAAAAGTATAAAAAATATATTTTTCTATTTAATCTCCCTCTACTACAATGGACTTCTTACATTTGGGTAAAAGAGCTTTTAACCCACTAAAAAAAATTCGCAATCTTTGCCTTGGAAATGAGCCTTTCACGCCGCCTTCATTTCTTTGTCACTCAAAAATCTTCGTTCCTGGAAGTCGTTTTTCCAATTTGAGAATTAGACAAAATAGCTAGGGATTCGGACTAAACTGTGTGGTAGGTGATGAATTTCTTGAAATCCAGTTTTACCCGGGGCAAGCCATGCAACATGCGCGGTGTACACGGGCGAATTGTCTTGCAATAACAGATTTCCTTTCGCCAGTTTGCCTCTTAATATTTCAACAACCACTTGACGCACTCTTATCAACAGTACAGCATAATAATTAACGTTTATTGTAGTTTTTTTTAGGTAGGTAGTCAATGAATAAAATTCCTTCACAATCCCAAAAATAGTGGCTATGAGCTTGGGTGTCGATCTCTCCACTTTGATATTTCCGCGGCGGCGTTTTCCCTTTTGAATCCATTGCATTGACTCTTATTCTGACTATAGATCGTACTGCCGGATCTTTATTTATCAATAGGGACAATGTGAGAAAAAAAATTGTTAGGATTACGGCCAAAGATGTCCAAAAACTCCTGCGAAGTTGTGACTCGACGCTGGTTGTCGAGCGGCGTGAGCATTTTTGGCATCCATCGCGCGCACCCCTATTTCATGTGTAAATGAGTATGAAAAATATCGCCGATACGTTCCTTACTAATGCCTATGGCTTCAGCTATCTGTCACAGCTTAATTCGCTGATCTCTGAAGCAAGATTCTTTAAATTTTCATTATTTTATTCGTTAATGGCAAAATCTAGCCGCCCTGACTTGCGGTCATCTTTTAGCGACTCCCTGCCATGCTTGAACTATCGGATCCAATCTTTCATGATGGCAAATGAAGGCCCAGACTCCCCATAAACTGTAGACATCTCTTCAAATGTTACCGTCAGCGTTTTGTTCCTCTTTTTGAGGAATTTTATGACAACTGTGTACTTCAATTTCGTACATTGCGCGGATGACTAAGACATGATGATGTTTACGGATTAATTACTAAAAGCGTGATGACGCTAATGAAATGAAACTTTGTACATATAATAAGGAGGTTATTGGCAAGTTAATTAAATTTAGCTCGAGTCAATAATGACACTTGAAGATACTTAGGCTCAAAACTTTTCAGCCGCCCCTCGTATGTGTCTTGACTAGGGATTGCAATTGCTGGATCCAGCATCCAGCAATCCAGCTGGATCCAGCGCCTTTTTAAACATGCTGGATCCAGCATACAGTGCTGGATCCAGCGATGAGGATCCGCAAACGTATAAATTTCTGTTGCTTAGTTTCTAATTGCCGCCATTTCCAAAACAGCGCGGTGACGTTGCCGTTCTGTTGTTGTGTGCGTTGTACGGCGCCTCTCTGAAGTTACTGGTACGTTTCTGTGCTTGATAAATCCAAAAAAGTATGAAAAAGCAGTAAAAAAATCTGTCTATTTTCCTTTGCCAAAAAAGAATGCGATGCGGCAGTAGATGAAAACTTTGTTAAAACGAGTAAATAAACAAAATATTGTAGAGCCATTGCAAGAAAATGAAGATATCATGGAGTTAGAAGAGAATGGTCTAACTAAATGATTACGCAGAACCTGTGAAAATGACTTTAGAGCAAGAGCTTGAGATGGAACTTAAAAGAGAGAAGGAGAACTATAATAAACAGAAGCCAAAGCCAAGTGGTCAATTAGATTACGAAGGAGTGCGAGATGAACATTTATCTATGGTGTATGAATATTTAATGACCCTAAACCGACCAGTGTAGAGGCCAAAGGGCATTCTCAGCAGCCGGCTACATAAGCAGTTCTGTGCGGTTGGGAGGTTAGACTATAGATAAAAATTGTCTTTCTTCCAGAGGATTGAAAAAAAGAAATGATCAGTCTCCTGTTGTCAGATTATAAACTGCCTAATTTTCGCAGAAGATTATTATTTTTTTTCAAAATCAAAATCAAAATTGCAGATTAAATTACGGTCCTTTTCGTAGTTAATTTTAAAAGAATTTGTAAGACTGTTTCCTCCTGATTATTAGTTACTGAGCCGTATTTCATAGATTATCGTAAGAAGTACAAATCGATAATACAAAAATTAATCGTAAAATGTGTTGGTAAGCGCATAATTCAACAACGCCTGGACCATTTTTTTTAATGTTCGTTGAAGTCCAAGGATGGTTTTTACGCCGAGAAAAATTCAAATAATTTCCAAGAACACCCTAAACACAGCCCTTTTTTCACGCAGGCGAAGCCGTGGGCGAAAAGCTAGTTACTTAATTTTAAAAAAAGACTTCAAAATGTCGTCTTTTTATTTTCGTTCCACTTTTTGCTGGATCCGCGCTGGATCCAGCTGGATTCAGGCCAATCCAGCAAGAATCCAGCTGGATTGAAAACGCCGCTGGATTGCAATCCCTAGTCTTGACAGTCCCGAAGGGTTGTCATCTTTTTATGGCTCAGGGCTCAATTTTTATGCTAACACTTAGTTGTTGCCAAACAATATGTGTTGTGGCTTGTCGTCATAAAAAAGGTAATCAAGCGACGCGACGGCATATCTTATTATAGTTGCGATAAGTGTTTTTGCAACAAAATGTTTAGCCTGACGTAGAACTGTCTAGCATCGTGGCATCTTATTTAGTTGCATTAAGTTCGTTTTTTGCAATAAACATTTATATACTGGCGCTGGATGCAGGCCGCTACCAGCCGTGCGATGTGGAAGTCATTGGGGGAGGCCTATGTCACAAAATATAACAGAAGGTAAACTCATGTATGTACCTCGCTTTGCATACCTCTCTCGCTCGCACGCTCGGCCGTCGCGCCAGGGTTGTCTTCTTGTCATGTGTTGTGTTTANGTGGTCGCTAGAACTCTGAATAATTTCCGCAAATTGCCGACGTTCGCAAGTGTCCGATATTTTCAAGAAAATCACCCCTATTTAATGGACGTGGCATGCCACTTATTTTGCCACTTCTAAGGCTGCCATTAACTTCGATTGCAAAGTTAAATTGGCGTCAAGAAATCAATAATCCATTTGTAAAACGGTAAATTATTAGTCAACTGCACAGGTAATGAAGTGTTACGATGGAAGTGGATGGAAGGGGTGGAAAATGTCACAATTTTATTTTGCAGAGCTAATAGAATGATTTCTCTAGAGAATTGACGTGAACGTATTACAGAGCCGTGTGAGTGAATGCTCATTTTGATGCATTAATGAGATATTTTCCTTGTCTTTCAGTTTAAAAGTTAACTTTAGAAAGCTAAAGAGAGAATCCATTTTTTTTATAATTCTTAAATAAAAATAATGTTCCTAGCGTATCGTATCACTTTAATACTCCAATTACTCAGCATTTCTCAACAATAAATAAGACAATAACATTGTAGGAGACAGAACCTGTCTCGCTCGGGCGCTCCGAATAAACTTATTACTCATTTTGTCACCCTACCAAATAAACGAAGCAGCAGTAATAGAAGCTGTATGGCTTTTGCGATGTAAAATTTGATCATCTCCGCCCGTCGCTCAAGCTTATGTCCAGTTAACGTTAGTGTTGTTCGTAGATTAGTGTGCATCGAGTTGAAGAATTTTATCGATAAAATAAAATACTCTACCTTAACCTATCAATTTTAATCATTAACTTCAATTCGACATTTTGTATAACTTCAGACTTAAAATGTTATTACTACCTATTTCTTAACCTGATGATAGTCATTATTTATTGATGCACTAGTTTTCATTTTCATTCTTGATATCTTCCAGAAGTTAAAAATGTCTTATTCTCCCTATACCTACCTACTTCATTAAGACCAATCAGCTAGAATTCCAGTTTCATTTTGAACAATTTCCATCAACTAAAAGGTTATTGATTAATAAAACTGTCTTCTCATTCCATTTCTCTAAAATTAATTTCGTTGTGTCATAGCTGATCCATCACGCTTGATGTCTTTATTTGTTTATCGACATCGCAGCATCGATCACCGGCCTGCAGTGGCAGCTGCCGTAATTCAACAATTTCCTTTGCAATTAGGCCGCTGTGTCCCAATTAATTCTGCTCCGGAATGGACGCAAATTGCTCACAAATGCCTCAAATTCGGTTTACCTGCATCGGTAGATCGCTAGCAGTTTGACTGATGAAGATATTCGACATTTGGTGAAATCATAAAAATGGTTCGGTTAATTGAAAAATATAGGGTGTCCCAAAATAAGGATGTCACACTGACACCAGAGGTAAACCTTAATTCTTTAGAAATTTCCATCGATGTAAACAAACACTTGTGNATTTTCATCTTCAGAGTGTTTGAACGCGACTCTAGTCATTCGAATGACGTGTCACAGCTTTATAATGGCCATTTAGTAAAAAAGTTACTAAATGTTATCTTTTTTTACCAATATGTTAGTATATGAGCCGTTTACGCGTCACAGTCGTGCCACTGACCTATATCATCTACCCAGCGTGGCTGACGCGCTAGGCGGGAGACTAAAGCCTGGTCCGTGAGCACATAGAATCCCGTCCAATGACCCCAAGCTACCCATCCTTATCGCTCGCGCGTAATTATATTGCTGTCGCGACTGTGCGACGGGCGCCCGCAGTGAGTGTGCGAGCGCGACAGCAACATAATTACGCGCGAGCGATAAGGATGGGCAGCTTCGGGTCATTGGACGGGATTCTACGTGCTCACGGACCAGGCTTTAGGAGTACACACCGGGGCGCTGTTTTTTGATCAACATGTTAGTGGTATATGAGCCGTTAACGCGTCACAGCCGGGGCACTGACCTATCCAGCTAGCCTGGCTTGGCGTCGTGTATGCTACGCACCGAGGCGCTGGTGCGGCGGCAGCTTGGCGAAGAAGGGGTGCGCGAGCGCGTCCCGCAGCGTGATGCGCTGCTGCGGCTCGTACTCCAGCATGCGGCCGATCAGCTCGAACAGCTGCCGGTGCTCCTCCGACGTGCTTTGCAGGTACCTCTGCGGAAACATTGGCCAAATTTATCAAATCCAGTCAGATAATAATAGCAACTGGCCCGTTAATATGCTTCCAGAGTGCGAATGCTAGATCAGTTGTTATGCTTTATAGATCATCGCGAATAACTCATTGATATAACATCTTAATAATGAACATTAACTAAATTATAGTGAAAAAATCAATCAATTTAATCAGGAATAGCTATGCTTAGCTGTAGCCCATTTCAGCTGCATCTTAAACTAGGTCTCCAGCGCGTGTCCCTACACAATCAATGCTTTTAGCATTTCAACATTTAACATTTTTTGTAGGCAATTTTATTGATTGTTGACATATTATTGTTGATTGTGTAGGGCAAAACACGCGCTGGAGACCCGGCTTTACTTTATTAAAACAAAGTTTCAATAACGTGAACTTCGCTTTAGCAAATATTTTTTCACATTCCTCAGGATAACAGAGCTATCAGTCAATTTTTTTCATGCAGTAAATATCCATATAGTGGAAAAAACAATAACTTACAAGTAGTGGTTTGCAGTTTTCTCTAACGTATCTGCCTGCTGACGATTTTTCGTCCCAGTCTAATTTGCCGTGGTAAAAATATTTTGTTCTAGTTTTGCGTGCCATTCTGAAAGAAGATAAAATAAAATTCATTAAATGTGTTTTGCCAAACCTACAAAAGTATAGAAGAATCTAAGACTTTTATTAAAGTATGCAATCTCATAAAGATACGTATTTAAAATAAATAATTCAGCTAGACCGTGGGTCTAGTTTTGTGACTTAGGGCTGAATTTTTATGCTAACTCTTAGTTGTTGCTAAGCAATAAGTATGTGTTGTGGCTTGTTGTCATAAAAAAGGTAATCAAGCGACGCGACGGCATATCTAGTCATTATAGTTGCGATAAGTGTTTTTGCAACAAAATGTTATTTAGTTGCATTAAGTTCGTTTTTTGCAATAAACATTTATATACTGGCGCTGGATGCAGGCCGCTACCAGCCGTGCGATGTGGAAGTCATTGGGGGAGGCCTATGTTCAGCAGTGGACGTCCTGTGGCTGAAATGATGATGATGATGATGATGATTTGTATACTGATGCGATATTAGTACCTGTAGGGGATGGGTCCGAGGATCCTCTCCATCATGGCGAGATGCTCGCGGTTGTCGTGCGTCTGGAACAGCGTGATGCCGAGGTGCAGCTCGAACATGATGCAGCCGATGGACCACACGTCGCACGGCTGCGACCAACCTAATTCTGGAACGGAAAAATACTCTCGTTAGTCACATACTTTATGACGCATAAATACAGGGGACAAAAGGCGACAATATAGACTAAGAGCTAGTGAACGCCAGACCTACGTCATTTTATAAAAGCTGAAAGTTTGTCAGCGTATGCTCCCAATATAGGATATAATGTTGGTGAATTATGAAGTTTGGGTCATGGTGGCTTTGGGAGCTACCCTAAAACAACTGTCTGGCAAGGAGTTGGAACTGTCAAAACTGTCTGGCTGTTGGGAAAAAATACTTCTAATTAATGGCCAAATATTATACATAGGTAAAAATCAAATTTTATGGTATTTTATGGCGTTCACTAGCTCTTAGTCTAATATCTCAACGATGTCACGGACTGGCGATTCTAGGATCGGAAGTTCGAACCCCCATCGCCCGCTGTGGCCTATCGACTATAACAGAACCATTTCATAAAAAATGCCATATGGCAGTCAATCTGTTCCGGACAGTGCACATTAGGCGGTGCATAAGATTTACGTTGTAGAGAAATGAAATCTAAAATTAAACCTGTTTAGAGGGCATTTGATGTAAACAAGTCAACTCTTTTTTTGTTTCGGTTATTCACTGATATACAAAGTCTGTTTGAATCACAAAAAAATAAGACGAAATAGGTTATCGTCATAATATTGACTTTATACTAGTGTCCGACCGAAACTAGTTTTACGACCGAAACCGAAACCGAAAACGAATTTCGGCAACGGTGTCTATTTCGGCCGAAACCGAAACCGAAACTTCCTTACAAGGCTCATATTTTGAGGGAAAAGTAAAGAAAACGTTATTATAATCTTTATTGTTTTCTCTTTAAAATGCATTAAAATTGAACTTATAAAGCGCCTTTTTACTCTAAAAGGTATCAAATTATGTTTTAAAAAAGAAAAAGAAGGATTTATAGTCTAGATTTTTTTTAATTACCCGCAATATTCAGGACATCTACATAACCCGTCCCATGTTCGAGTCTTTTACCTTAATAATTTCTCAAAACAAAATTGGTAGTACCAGACTGTCTGACTTGTGTGATACTAACTTACGTAACATGAACTTTGAAACTCTGAATCCATAATATTATCACCATGAAATGTACTATAGTCATTACTAACTACCTAACTAATGTTTGTTTACGTATAGCATTTGCGAACCAAAAAAAATTTGTAGGTTAGATTAAACTTTTATCAGTCATATTGATATTTTTTTATGTTTATTGCTCTTATGTTATAACGACATATAAAACGAGATAAAACTTACCAAATTCAAAATAAATCACTCGAAAACTCGCCACCACAACAAAACTAACAGCAAACAAACAAGCGAGCGAATCACGACATTGGCTCTGATCGAATTTATTCACTCATTCAACGCGCCGAACATGACCGATAACAGTGCGGAAACTCCCGAATGCACATTCGGTTTCGGTCGTAGTTTCGGCAAGTTTGCCGCCGAAAACGAAACTAAACCGAAACTCGTGATTTTACCGAAACTCAACCGAAAACGAAACCGAAACCGAACATTCGGTCGGACACTACTTTATACTGAAATGGAAGTTCAATGACGATCGTAAGTCAGATGAATTTAGTATTATATTATTTCGACGATAACGACGAATGCTTCCGTCGTTCGTGTTATAATAATAATGCTCGATTCTAATCACTGAATCGGAACTTAATTAGTGATATTAATTCAAACAAGGCGTTAGGGTACAAGCAACAGCAAAGACTATTTTCGCAGTATTTTACCTTGATGTGCTGTTGTTGTACTTTGTATGATTTTAGCTTCATTGTGTGGCCACAAAGAAAAGTTAGCGAACTGATGGGACAAAAGCCATATTTTTAGCGTTGGCGTTTGACTACAAAGAACTAGCTCCCTTACGTCTAGAGCTATATTTGAAACGTTGGTGTGTGGCCACAAAGAGTAGCTAGCTCAAGCCATATCATTAGCGTCAGAGTAGTCACAAAGAACAACTAGCTCATTTAATGTGAAAAGTCCAATTTTCAGAATCGGTGTATAGCTACAAAGAAGAGCTAGCTCATCTCAAACGGCAAGTCATATTTTTAGCACGGATGTGTTGGCCACAAAGGAGCTAGCTCACGTTTAGTTATATTATAAGCAAAGTTGATTCGCCACAAAGAGCAGCTAGCTCAAAGGGCCATATCATTATCGTTGGTGTGTGGCCACAAAGAAGAGCTACCTGACTATAAGGGCCATTAGTTTTGGTGTATGGCAAGAGTAAATACAAATAATATAATAATATCTTTGGACAATCTCACACAGCGCCATCTAGCCCCAAAGTAAGCAATTAATATGCTTGTGTTATGGGTGCTAGCTTAACGGATATACTACTTATATACTTTTTTTTTTAAATACATACATATTATACATAGTAACACCCAGACCCGTCACAGAAATTAAAATTCATCATTTCAATTTCTGCCCGGCCGGGAATCGAACCCGGGACCTCTCGGCATAGTAGTCCGTTCTGAACCACTACACCAAACGGCCGACAGATGAGTAGGTCATCTTCATAGAAACGCACCGTGCGCGCAACCACGACTGGCTCCCCGCTAATCCACGCTAAATTTTGTAAGTGTGTGCGTGCGCGCCGCATACAAACCACGCTCGGTGCGTTTCTATGAAGATGACCTACTCATTTTTATTTACTCAGGTATGTCCCCCAGGTATAGCTCACCTAATATGACTTCTGGCGCGCGGTAGTGGCGCGTCGAGACAATGGTACTGTGGTGCTCGTGGTCGAAGGTCGCGCTGCCGAAGTCAATTAGTCGCACGTCACTCCGCTTCACGCGCAGCAGGTCGTGATTCTGAAGAGTAGAGAAAATTAATAAATAAATATACATGGACAATGGACATGTTACAGTGCGATAAGTCCCATGCCTAGCAAAGCTTTCACTATGGGAACTAGATGACGGTTATAATCATACTTAAATATGTATGTCCTTTTTATTTTAACCATAAATATCATGCCTTTACAAACGTTTGTATGAATATTCAATTAAGTCTGATTTGCAGTAAAAACTCGCTTGTAAAAGCGCTTTCTAAGTCTACTTGCAAAAAATAAACGAGTTTTATGAAAGTTTTTATAGCACCGTCGAACTTCACGTCCTACGCTATATTGCAAGTACATAATTATTTTCTGCTACAGTGTCAGCAATTTCTAAGACCTACATTTGAGAAGCTATGATGAATCTGGAGTCATATATCGCATAATATAGCGAATCCACCCAGATTCCGTATGCTTGTAATACGAGCCTAACCGACCGTGTCGTACCGTCGATTGATATTCAATAACAATTAAAGAAAATAAATCGTTCGAAGCGGCTGGCAATGGATTTATTTCCCACATTTGGAAAGTATAGTATTTTAAGTGTTATTGCATTGACTTTCGTATTTTTTATCTCAATAATAAGTAATATTAAAAAGTACAGAGTTAATTTTTATGTTAGAAATGTATGAATATTTTAAATTACATAATATAAATTATCTTGAAGCCAAATTATCTATTTTCAAGAAAAAAAATATTGCGTATGTTTACTAGTGTTATTTACGCAACTGATATTATGTTATCACATTTGTTTAGTCTATTATGCAGATATTATAATTGTCCTATATAAGCCCGAATAAGACTATTTGAATTGTCTACAACAGATGACATGACTCATAGGCCATGAACATTAAACATTTCTACTACGAAATTATAACTGCGTATTAGGAAGAAGTTCTTTTGTATGATGTCATGAATTTTTTTTTTCGATTTGAAATATAACAAAATATAACAACTGTTCTCAACAAGGCGAGTGAACTCGTTAATTTAGTTTGTATGAATTCTTATCACGACTATATTTGTGACGCAATAACACGTGTATACGTATTGTTGTGAACTGACGAGTTCAATCACCTTGCTATATTTACGATTCCAAACTAGGTGTTTACAATCAAGGTGAGTTGAACTGATATTGTATTGCATTTTGTGGTGACATAAGTTACAGTATGACACATACTTTAATAATATTCGGACACATTTCAGTAAAATCTTCTTTCAGTCATGCCAATCCGATTTGTTTTGGATACGCTTCTTACAGTTTTTGTGGCTAGCGTCGACTTCTAACTGGTTTTACGGTTGTTAGTTACTTACGTTATGTACTCTGGAGGCATGTTAAGTAACAAACCGCAATTTTTAATAAGCTTGGCCGACTTTAGTCTCGACCTAGCGGGAACGATTTAGTGAACAAAATGCCTGAACGCAAGCGATTAAAGTGCCTATTTAAATGTCTTATGTCATAAACTCTATGCTTTGTACTATCGTCAACAGTGTTAACTGCCCATTGCCGGTCATGACGTCTCGTTCTATCGCAAAGAATCACCATTTGATGAGAGCGAGAGTAAAAACGGAAATGGATAGTTAGCACTGTGACCGTACTTAATAAAACGTCTAGCGCTTAACCATTTCAGGTCAGTGCCTGAAGTATACAATGTATGGGAGCTACACGGGAAGTTTTTGAGACGTCAATCGTCAGCGAGACTTGAGACATGCTTCAGCCCCCCTAGACAAAACGCACTTTTTGATCGAATCGAAAATCGAATCCGTCAAAACTCCATACAAAAAAGGGGCTTTTCGACCACTTTTCGACTGGTTTGCGATTATAATTTGCACTTTGTCTAGACCCACAGATTCGTATGCTCTGTCACGTCAAAATGTCAATAGCACCCTCCCGTTTAGATCCAATATACTGAACTGTCCTATCCGTGACATTGACAGCGGGGCGCCACCGTCAATAGCGGATCGCTGGTTCCGATTATTGCCGTGTTGGAAACTATACAGGGTGGAAACGATAAGTGATCTCACTCGATTATTTCTAAACTATACAAGATATCGAAAAACTGATTACTGATCCTGAAAGTGCTTGACGAGCTCTTTCAAACGGTACCAATAATATGTTACAGAATAAACTGGAACTATCCGAAAATTCAATGTTTCCAGCTTCCATACATTTGGTAAAGTTACATAATATTAAAAACTACACAAGATATCCCAAAACTAGTTACTGGTCCTAAAAGTCCTTCACGAGCTCTATCCAACGGTATCAACAATAGCTTACAGAATAAATTGGATCTATCCAAAAATTCAATGTTTCCATCTTCCTCCCATTTAGTACTATCACAGTCATGGCACTCATCTCTTGATAATATTATAGCAAGTAAAGCCTAAAACTAATGTTTTCCACAAATAATTTTAAATAAGATGCAAGTTACGAGTTTATTTAACCGACTTTTTAAGTTTATTATTTAACAAAAAATAAATTACACTTCTAATATTGTATGGTTGGCATACTTTCAGTATGGAAGCTGGAAACATTGAATTTTCGGACAGTTCCAGTTTATTCTGTAACCTATTATTGGTACCGTTTGAAAGAGCTCGTGAAGCACTTTCAAGATCAGTAACCAGCTTTTCAATATCTTGTATAGTTTAGAAATAATCGAGAGAGATCACTTATCGTTTCCACCCTGTATAGTTGAACGATGGTGGCGTCCCCCTGTCAATGAGTTTGGTTGGACAGTCCAATTTAGGTCATCTATACCTCAGGTACTGATCCAGTTACGCGCGGGACCTAATTTTAAATGATAACCAACCTTTTTGGAGCTCGTGTATACGTTGACGACCTCATAGTCGCTGTCGACGAACAGTATGTTCTCCGGCTTGAGGTCGGTGTGCGTGAGCTTGTTGTCGTGCAGGAAGAGCACGCTGTAGATGAGCTGGTACGAGATGTGCCGCACTTGCTCCAGCGGGTAGGGTTGGTAGTTGTTGTCTTTCTGCAACCGCAAACAAACACCAATTAGGCCCAGAACAGACGGTGAATGAGAGACCACACATGACGCGACCAGTTAGACCAGTTCAAACCGGTTTCAAACTGGTCGCGTATGTGTGGTCTCTCAACGGACGCTATGGCAGAAACTTAGATGCAACTCAAAAGTAACTAGAAGTTGCAGTTTCGTTGCAGTTGCGTTTCTCCGTGTGTTCTGGGCCTTACATAAAGTTTATATTATCATAACCACAGATTAAAGAATCTAAAGGGAGATGTGAAAAAGGGGCGGGGCCGGTGTCGCAGCAATATGCCCATAAACAGAACACATTGCTCGCTACAGCAATGTGACAGCAGTGACGTTATACACGGTGTTACTTTGCATTCTTCCCATATTTACAGAGGTAATAACTGATACTGAACACAAATCAGTAAAAAAGAATGCCCTAAAATTTTGGTTTTTAATCTTGAGTATTTTATTTTATCGACAATCTGTTAAACACTACTAGTTTATCGTAACATATGCATATCACTTGTTGGCAATGGCGACGGAGACTTTCTATTTCTAAATATCTATTGTAATAAATTATTTTTGACACTTGTAAAAAGCTGACGCCCACTAGGTTTAATTCCAATTGCGCCTGTTGAACGTGCGAGACAAAATTGGTTTATTCCAATTTGTACTGCAAAACCAAATTTACTAAAAACTTAGTGTGCTTTGGGTCTCTTTTTTATCTAAAATAATAGGTATTGTTGCTATTTATATTTCTGTGAATATGACAAGTATGCAAAGTAACACCCTGTATAAAGTTTATATTATCATAACCAATGTGATGTAACTGACACGGTTCTTATCGAGTTAATGTCATGTTATAGAAATGATAACATTTCTAGAACTAATTAATGCAAATTACTTTGGCACTTCCAATGTCGTAACTTGGTAGGAAGAAAGTTTTATTCATAACTTAATATTGATGATGTTAGAGACGGAAACAATAATTTTAAGTGCCGGAAGCTCAGTAATGAGTCAGGTCTTCGCATATTCCCGTAACTTGCGCTTGCGCAACCGGGATTAAGCAGCGATACTCCGTGAATGCTAAATGCGATATCTTTAAACATCAGATTACTCACCAGGAAGTCAAATACACTCTGTCCGAGCATTTCGAATGCGATGCACATGTGTCCGTGGTACTCGAACCAGTCTAACATCTTTACACATAGGCTGAAACAAAAATATGGGTATTTTAGACCGGAGTTGTGTCATCAAGATGACATAGAAGTTGGTAAATTTAGAATACTAATAATACGTCATTTATTTTGAGATGTATTGCAAATCAAGGGCTCAGTGATTCAGTATCAAGGGCGCTCTCGTTCGGCGCCGTTTTGATATTTAGAAGATTAGGGGCAAGCAGCAGACGGTATTTTTATGTTTTCGGTTGACATCAAGATGTTTCTGGCGCGCGGCCAGCCAGGAGCCGTAGCGTCGCGTATAAATGCGCAAGGTCAAATATTGTTACATTGCGCGCCGTCAACGCAGAATTAACAGATATCAACAAGTGCTTGCTTTAATCAACGATAATACCTAATGAATACGTTCGTGTACTCACTTTTTACAATCTGGGTCAACTTCTGCTAATTTCTCTAGTACGTTTATCTCTAGTTTTGCAGCCTCTCTGTACTTCTCAACATTCTTGATTATCTTCAGAGCCATTCTGTGCTCCCTGAAAATTATAAATAGACAAAACATTAATCATTTTCCCAGACAAATTTTGGTATTCGCTGGCAATAAGTATCGAAAGTAGCCGTTAGTATAAACAAACTAAAATAGCGTTGAATAATTGGAGTCAGGTATGCGGTGCCAAACAATGTGTCATCATCCGGAGAAGTGAACGACACTGCACATAAGCCGAAAAACTGTACACTGCAAGCCAGCAGAGATATCTTCGGCCGCGTTCTATATACTTGCGATGAACGCGGAGAAAATACAATTAAAAAAGAAAAAATCACACGTGATTTCACAGCGTAATAAGACTATGAAAGTTATGTATCTGGCATATTTATTGCAGCAATATTTGTTCTAATGATGCATTAAAATAACATTTACTAAACCGATAATTAAAGTTGTTTTCAGCTGACAGATTTATAGCAATGTTTCACATCATACAATTAGTTAATAAATAATTTAATGAAAATTAATGAACATATACAAATTATAAAAACGCATACATTATAGGCACATATCATCAGCATTATTATAGATCTACAGGGTGGAACCGATAAGTGATATCACTCGATTATTTCTAAACTATACAAGATATCGAAAAACTGGTTACTAATCCTGAAAGTGCTTCACGTGCTTGCTTTCAAACGGTACCAATAATAGGTTACAGAATAAATGGGATCTATCCGAAAATTTAATGTTTCCATATTAAATGTATGCCAGCTACATAGTATTAGAAGTGTTTTTTTTTTATTAAATTATAAATTCTTAAAATAAACCTGTTATAGCCTGACCAGGAACATAAAAACCCNCAGTTTAATGAAAATTAATGAACATAATATACAAATTATAAAAACACATACATTATAGGCACATATCATCAGCATTATTATAGATCTACAGGGTGAAAACGATAAGTATATCACTCGATTATTTCTAAAGATTAGTTTCTAATCCTGAAAGTGCTTCACGTGCTTGCTTTCAAACGGTACCAATTACAATAGGTTACAGAATAAACGGGATCTATCCGAAAATTCAATGTTTCCAGCTTCCATACTAAATGCATGCCAGTCACATAATATTAGAAGTGTGTTTTTTTTATTCAATAATAAATTCTTAAAATAAACTCGTTAATTTCATTCATTTAAAATTATTTATGAAAAACGATGCCGAACAAGAGATGAGTGCTATGACTGTGGTAGTACTAAATGTATGAAAGATGAAAAAAAAATTTTTTTTAATAAGATCAAGTTTATACTGTAATCTACATATTGATACCGTTGGATAGACCTCGTGAAGCACTTTTAGGATCAGTAACCAGTTCTACGATAGTTGTGTAGTATTTAATATTAGAGGGCTGTATCTTGTACAGTTTCGAAATAATCGAGTGAGATCACTTATAGTTTCCACCCTGTATTTACATTTTTTGTATAATTTTAGAATGTTTCGGTTTGGTTTTATTCATGAGTGACTTTTGAACAAATACGAATTACATTATTAAATTCTTTTGACATTGATTGGAATTATCAATTTGAACTGTAAATTATAATATACTTGATAAAACATTTATTCAGGAATTACATAATAATAATGACTATGTTTATGCATACAGAGTGATAACATGCGTTGAAAGCGTCATACAGAACAAACTGGAGTGAGACAGGACGAAGTGAAACTATAAAAACATAATTTTACTCACATTTCTAAATCCTTCACCTCGACCACCTTGCCGAAGGTGCCCTCACCGAGTGTGTCGATGATTTTGTCTGCAATTAAACCAAGGTGACATATTAATTAAATGCACACAAACAGTCATGATGGAATTCGGCATTGGTTTTTAATGAAAAGGGCTCATTATAATAGCAATTGAACACATTCAATAAATGCATTTACATATTAGTGAGCTAAAAACCAATGACTACCACTCCAACATGACTTTGAGAATTCGATGATCTGTAAGTTGCCACTGAATTGTGAAAATTTTAAATTAAATAAAAAAAAATAGATTGAATTCTTGATTCCACATAACACTGAGCACTAAAATTTGATTTGGGTCATTAACAGAACTAGGTTTCTTGAAATTTCTGCTGTCTGTATCAAAAGGAAATGCAATGTGTTTATTGTTTATGTGTAAATGATGTTAAAAAAATTTGTTTAACTGACACTGTGTGTGTAATGTATGGTATGGTGTGGTGTTTATGTGTAGTGTAGTAGCAGTTTGTTTAAGTTATGGTGTGGACACGAACATCTCGCTCCCATGACATAGCCGGGCCAGTACACCAGGTGTCCGTCCTTGTCGTCCTTGACGGAGGAGCGTGCCCGGGAGCTCTGCAGGCGCCAGCCAGCCGCGCCGCCGGGAGCGAAGCGCCGCACGCCAGCCGCACGCCAATGCGCCAACGCCACACGGATGCCAATGCCACGGAGAGCGCCACGCGTTCGCCACGACCCGAGTAGTGTTGTACCCAACAATCAGACAATGGAACGGTTGCCCGTCAGACAAGCGACAATTGGTATGGTGTCGTACATGCTGTTAAAGGGCGGACGGGTGGGCGCTGCGGAACGGCGCTGGCGGACGCCCGAGCCGGGCCCGGGCCTCGGGCGCCCGCCGAGCGCGCCGCCGTTCGCACGGACCGGCCGGGAGCGGGACGGGACGGGAGCGGAGCTGGGATCACTGGGAGGGGTTCCGACGCACCTCACGCACTCTTTCAATCTCACATCGACCGCTCACCCTGGGTTTAAGGAATAACAGTGTCCACCCGATTGCCATTTAAAAATAAATAAACACAATCCTAATTATACTAACGCTAGCACCGAGCGTATCGGGATATCGCTTACGCTTAGAATTAGACAAAATATTAACGTAAATATGTGACATTATGTTAGTTTTCAAAACACGCATAAGTAATGTTATCACATGCACTATCATGGCACTTTTTTATTCTTTACGTCCACGTTCAACGAATGTCAACAGATTATTAGCGACTGCGTTTGTATTTGTTTGACCGTCAAGCAGTTATTTGCTTCTACCTCACATTTCTATAATAAAATGTTACTACTGTTTGTTTTTAAACGTCGAGACACATGCATTCCACAGAGTAAATATTGTTTGAGGTGCTATTATAAATCGTAATTAGGCGTACAATGATTACGAGTCATTCATTCGATGTAAATAAATATTAGGCTAAATAATGTTTACTGGTACAAGTGTTGCAACACTTCACATTGAATAGGAAAACCACGGACCGGGTGTATGTTAGCGGCACACAGAGCGCAGGCGGTTAGCAGTGCTTACAGGCGGCGTGACCGCGCGCCGCAGCAGGTGGCGCGGCCGGCGCGGGCGCTGGCGCGCGCGCAGCTCGGGCGGCAGCGCCACCACGTCGCCCACGCCCAGCGGCTCCGGCTTCTTCGTTGCGACAGTTTCGTTCGACACATCGTTGCCCTCCTTTTCTCCGATGCGACCGTACACCTCGTCCAGGTGCGCGTACTTCATTATGAGGCTCTGTATCTCCTTTCGTCGCGTCTCTCGCTCGCTCAGCACCCGATCTCCCACCGGGGTCTTGTCGTCGTCCTCGTCGCTGGACGGAAAGTATATTTGCTTTTGTCCCACTATCTCTTTTGATGGAGAGGATGCGGGAGTCTTTGTTAATTTTGATTTTGTCTTTTCGCTGCTGAGCGGCGAGACCAAATCGCGAACACCCGAATGTATGTCGATATTGACAGGTCGTAGTGCTAATTTACCTTTCTTATCACTGTTCTCACTTTTTTCGGCTCGGAGGGATCGTCTCTGGTGTCTTCTGTAAACACTATCCCTATCTTTCCCATAGTATGGACGATCTCTTAAGGGTATTATATCATATCCGTTTTTGTTTTCATCTTTGTCCTTCTGTTTCTGATTAGATGATAATCGGCGGTCAGCTGTGTTTCTAAACGGCGTCTTGTCTCTGGTTTTCTCACGAGAATAATTGTTTCGTTTAAATGAACTTTCACCAAAAACTGCAGTCGTCAAGCTTCTCATTAATCCTCTAGGCATAGGAGGTTCCGGTTCTAATGTTTTATCACGATCTTCTTTCTCTTTTCTAGCTCTCTCTTTTTTCTGGACGGCTATTCTGTCTAAGACTGAAGAATATTTATCTTCTAATCGGCTACGTGTACTTCCTAGAAGTATCGTGCTATCGACATTATTATTGGCTTCCTTGAGAGGATATCGTTTGGTAAATGGAGATGATTTATTATCTTTCATATGGGCTCTGCGGAATGAGTCACTACGACCGAGAGCACTAATGCCGGAGGTAGAATGTAAAGGTGATATGTCAAGTCGTGATTTGGGTGAGCTCAGGTAACCGTACGTACGATCATCATTCAGTTTCCTCGTGGCCGCTGAGACACCGGTAAGCAAAGGTGTGTACGGTGATATATGTCTGGAGTTTTCGTATCGTCTTACACTGGCAAGAGCTGAATTTTTACTAGAAAGCAACTTGTCATCATATCTGGTTCGTGCGGCACTTAATTTTGTGTCTGGGACATCTGATTTTTCTGAGGGTCCCCGTCGAGTTAGCCGATTGATGATGTTGGAATAGCCATCCGACAATAGCTGTGTCACGCTTGTGGTAGACGACCGGCTGTAACGATGACGCCGAGGGCTAGTCGTGCCATTTCCATTGGCGTTTATTGTTGTCATGTTTATTCGATAAACTTATTTATTATTTACACTCACTTTACCCTGGATAAATTACGTAGTATTCGAATAACGTCATAATTCCACAATGAACCACAATACACAAAACATATTTTTTTCAAAAAGTGGTGAATGCTTCGGTACCGGACATTAGACTGGGTCTATCTCGAGATTGGGAGCGTACCTAAGCGCGAACGAATTTCAGAAAGATCACTAGCGCAGGCGAGTGCGGCCGCCGGTGCCAAGTAATGGTCGTGGACTAAAAATATCGGCAACCCGTGGGAGCGCCCTCCCGCGCACTCCCGGTGTGCGCGCGCGCATTTCTTCGCATTACACTTGTTATAATTATGTATCTCAATTTACTTTTTCTTATTTCTTTATTTGCGTATTTACACAAGTCTGCGGTCGTGATATATTTGACATGGAAACGTTTGCAGGACCTAATAGGTAACGACGTACGTAGATGTCTACCTACGTATTTACGATTTTGTTTTGGCAAACTTATGTAGTGGAATGCTAGTGTCTTTTTATACGGAAAATACTTATTAATAGAGTAAGAGCTGGTTCAACGAACAAAGTTGTCAATCTGTGTCAAATTATAATGGAGAAGTAGTAATTAGTCATGCGAGTCGGTGAACTTTTTGATATTTCTGAAACGTACACCTTTCTCTGAACGATGAGCTGGGCCGCCAAGACAGTTCTGTCAATAAGCGGTAAGTAATTGGGTTAGTGGGGCGCGTGTGAGTAGCGAACAATGCCGCCTGCGCACGCGGCCAGCACGCAACAGATCCATCTCACAAGATAAACAATTATTATCCCATAGGTCAGCCGTGTGTTTATCTCGAGTTAAACTTGAACGAGAGATTACTACGTGTGTTATCTCACTGGACATGACATGTCACGGGTAGTCCGAAGCGCTCGGGAACGGCGGATGCGGGCGCCGCGATAAAACGTCCAGTGACACGAATGCTCTACGTGTCTCACGCTTATCATTTTGTAAACGATCCGTGTTACATTTGTTTTTTATTCTACTTGACGCCCCGACAATTCTGCAATTGGTTTAATATTTTCTTTCACCATCATAATAGTATAATCATGTCAATTTAGCTGTTTTTAGATTGTATCTACTATTTATGAAATATTCATAAAAAAACTGAAAGTGAATTAATTACCTTTCATCGCAGGATTTTACAATTCTAGGTAAGAATGTTCTAGCTTTCGAAGGAAGTGGTACTGGTATTGGTGCAGGCAGCGGAAACCGCGCGAAAATAACCAACATTCTATAGCCACATTCGCGTATCGACCTCTTGCATGCTTTGAACTTTTCCCCTTTTATTCACCAACACTTTTTATTACGATTATCGATTTAATAATGAATTCCAACTCTTTTTAGAGTATTTTCAACACAATAATAGTAACATCGAATGATTGACTGAATTCATTGAAAAAAGTATCCGCAGTTGATATGGAATGCACGTAAGTGGCAACAGTTTAAATGTTTACACAGTTGTATCACAAACATGGGTCAAACGCACCTGCAGGAATACATTATCATCAGATATAAGTGGATAGTTGTATTTGAAGATTACTTGAAATATGTGAGATGAATTATTGTATGAATTAACTTTACGAGATGTTATGACACAGAGAGCGATTAGAACAAAAAACACTGATGCAACATATTCATCGGCACTGATAACGTTGCGGAAGTATTGGTTTAGAGTCATCGCCACATGTGAACTGTTGGTAAGCATCGCACACAGACTGTCGGCGTGCTCTCAAACCAGCTGTTTAGTGCGCCGCAGGGAATAACAATAGCAGGTAAGGAGACCTCTTACGCTATTGGCCCGTCATTCATTGTAGGGTAGGGGCAAGTAACTGAACATTTTAAAACGCCATGCGATATTGCCCATTTGAATATGTCACATCTGCAGTGTTTATGTTAATTATATTTAGATTATGTAAGATGATCGTTTAATAATTAATCATTAAAACTGACCTTGCCTGCTAGCCGACTACAGGCACCGTCTATATCAAAAAGGACTTCTGCCACGACAGAGAGCAGTTTCGCAACATCATGCCACTTGCACCTGTGCTCCTTGAGAAACCGCTTGTAAAGCTCATAAAAGGAGGCTAGACGTAAGGGCACTCTCACACGATCGTGTTTTAATGATATTTCAGTCATTGTACGAGGTTGCACTACGATTGATAACACTAAACAGAGCACTGCACGCCACAGCCCGAGCGTGGGGGCGGGTAGGCACTGCGCCGGCTGCCTCACAACTGCTCTGTAATGGCGACCGATACCGCCGGCCGACCACAATTCTTCTTCAAATCAACGCGACAAAGGTTAAGAAAGGTTTGTAAACTCATCGAAACGTAACAATCAGTGGAAAATGGAAATTAAAATTGCAACTATTAATCAACATGAAACGTTCACGTTCAACGGCGAAGAATGGACTGAGGGAACTGCGCGGTGGTACTTTAATTAAAAATGTCCAGCAGGAATGAAGCAAACAATTTGTAACGTGAGCTTTCGGTTCAAACAGGATTGATCCGCGTTGGAGCGACTCAGCTGGTCTTAATTACTATAGTAATTAGAAATATTGAAAGAATCAGCAATTAGATTTATGAATAGCATCAAATTGGTTACATGAGAAATTTTATAATCACTGCGATTAGTTTACGGTAGGCTACATGAAAATCGTCACGTATTATATAGAAACGCAAGTTTTCGTTTAAAAATGATAACAATAGTTTTAAAATTGATAAAATATATCTATAACAATAAACAATAATTGCTTTTGTTCCGTATAAGGCTCTAATGAAAGCTACTTTTCAATTATGAAAGAGTGATTAGACCGATATAGCGGTATTTTGAGGCTAGTAGTGGTCGGGCGGTTGGCGCAACATGCGCGGTATCGCAAGGTCGGCCGGAAGGAACTGGGCATTACCAAATAGATAGGTGGGTTCGAAACACCGCATGCCGCATTTATCAGACCATATCAACCGCGCCGTACAATGTATTTAATGATACGCGATAGGACCGCCATCCTCTATCAGCGTTCTTGACCTTAGAATACGCCTTAATGTTAAGGTAAACGCTTCATCTATGTTACTAAGCTTGGTGTATTACGTGACCAATATTTCTTTGCGCAATATACAACTATTTCTGCGATAAAAAGGTCGCGTTTTTGAATCAGTAATATTTACTGACAGAAGGATGAGTAAGAATTACATTCGTGTAGTAGTCAGCGAGGGGTCTGATTCACGAGATCCGCACCGAGCCGCCTGCGACGGGTTTCAATTGATAGATTCGGTACTACAATTCAAAACAATTGAGCCGCACGCTACTTGATGAGCGCCCATTAACTGCTTCGTGGGCTCGTCGCCTTCTTATGAAATGCATATTAACATACCCCGTTTATTTAACATTAAATAATGAATATTTCATCCTCATTAAATATTTTCGTACTTCGCGAATCTAGTTCTCCGCCTGTTTTCATTATTATGAGCAGCTGTGTTAACTCAGTAAAGGAATAAGCCTGGCACAGTTTTTAAAGTATGTAGCACAAAACCTACTATTAAAACAAACAACTTGGTCAAATTGTTATCGTTGACAGGCAAAAAGGTCACTTTCAATACCTACACTAATATACTAGGTTACTGTTAAACTTGGATTTTTCGATCCAAATAAAGAGCTTATTTATATGAATAAGAATAAATTCTTGAATCTAAATCAAATTGATAATAAAATAAAAGTATGTAACTCATATAAATCGCAAGTACATGAAGTACGGTAATAAGTTGTGCAAACTACTAATAAACAACTAACGTTTTTTATGAACTGTGAAACAAATAACGGAATAATTTTTGACTAATATTGATTTCTGAACTGCAATGAAACACGATTATTACGTTTTTTTTAAGATATTGTTACATATTTTCGATTTCTGGACTTCTTATTTAATTAATTATTATGTCAGCTCATTAGATTTCTGCCAAACCAGTTCGATTGAATTTCAAATAGGTTAAGTCAGATAATATTTTAATAACATTAATTACAAAATCTAATTAAATTAATAGTATGTTCAGTACGCTTCAGTAACCATTTATTAACCCTTTAACGGACAAAGCAAGTTAAATTCTTTTCAATGTTTTTAGATCTGAAAAAGTAACAAAACTATTACGGAAATTAAAATTACTGAAAATTGCCATTTTGAATAGATTTTGACCAGTTTGACCGTAAATGACAAGTCAGTCATTGTCAACAATAATTGCGTCCTTCAGTAAATCACCATAGATAACGAAATCAAGTTTATTATCCTGGATACGTAAATAGGAAACGTCAAACCTAAAATTAGTTTTAGAGAGTGAGTGATTCCAAAATAGCAAACCTAGTCTGACACTAATATATTTATAAGTTTCGATTTTCTTTTAGAAATCGACCGTGGGAATAAATAAATAATGAAGTGTGTGTTGTTAAATAATGAGCTATTCCTGCACTTTGCGTTTGTAATAGTTGCTAGTCTAGTGAATATAGTACGTTATTAGGCACTTTAATTATGAGTGTAAAAGCTCTTTTAAAAGCTTAAATGCATAAAATAAATATCCGTAAACTCTTAGTTTATGATACCTATTATTATTGCTGTTAACCTGCCTACTATGTTGTAATAAATTGTCTGAATTAATTAATTAGCGTGAGAGGCTGTGGTTTCCACTCCAGTGTGACTCGATATCACACGGAGTGGACGAGACTCGGTCGGTGGATTCGCCTAGGTGAAGGTAAGCATCACGGTACTATTTCTGTGCTCATGCGTCGTCCATGTTATCAAAGGCAGAACACGTGGCGCCATCTAGCGAACGGCATCAGAATCGCATAGCTAGCTACAAGCGTAAAAGCTGGACTATTTTCGACGGTCATACGTATGTTATTTACTACTATAGGAACATAAAAATGTAATTGTTGTTTGTTTTATAAAACAAAAATAGATTATCGGAAAGTTTTTAAAATATGCATGATGTAGATAGTCCCATCTAAAGGTGCGTCTTATATTTCAGGACCTTAACTATCAAATTTAATTATGTATTACGATGACTGGTTGTAATGAAAATCAGAAAAACAGATGCAATAAGTGGGTTTTCAACACACAACAAGTGTTAGTGCATGCTTGAGTAACATATCAATCAACCTAGCCTTGACATTTTTGTAAGATCACCGTTTCCTGTAAACTGTTTCAGACTGTAATAAAATGGGCAAGAGAATAGTGATGAATTAAATCCTTGACCTGATAGTATACTCTAAAATAGATGCGCATTGCTCTCAATATACACACGTTGGCAGAGCATTGCGCAGTTACTTTTAATATAACGTTCATACATTTATTTCATTTATAGCGTTTCTAAAATGTATTAGCGCTTAAGATGAAAAGGTTGATTAAGTAGTATCTAACCTCTACTTCCTTGGGTTGCTTGTCAAGCTTTAGCTGGGACACAGGCGGAGGCAGGCGTGGCGGTTGATATGAGCAAGAAGGTTGAGGCTCCGCTTGGTGGTTTGCATTGGGGGGTGCTTGCGGAGAGGGTTTTGGACTCTTCGGAGCACTCACTGGCTGACCTTCCGCATTCTGTACACGTATTTGAGGTGCTGACTGGGGTGCACTTGGTGTGACCTCATTAAACGGCCTTTTGGGAGCCAACCAAGCGGGTGGGACAGCAGGTGGTTGAGGCGCCTGTCGTAACACTTGCTTGTTGCTGGTGGTACTCTTTACTTCCTCAGGTATATGTTTTTCTGGTGGCTGGTCATTCGTTTTTTTACTGTTCGAATTTAAACTCGATGAAGCAGGTTCAGCCGTTATCACACTTTGATTTTTAATAGGTTCAACGAATTGTGTTTCCTGATTTGGTAATGAAGTAGGTACAGGAGGTAGTTTCGTAGGTAATGGATCTTGAAGTGGAATGGATGGCAATTGGCTAAGAGGTAGATTGGCCATTGTCGTTGCACTCAAAGGCAAATGTTGCATTTCGTCCGTTTTATTAGACTCTTTGATAGTTTCACTTTTAGTAACTGTACTAGGTTTAGGAGGATCAGGTATAACTGGAGATGTGTCATCTCTACTTTGAGAATAATCACTATCACAACATGATAATTCATCGAGACTTTGTACTAAATCTAGAGCAGATGCTTCGTGATAATCTGTTGAACATGGTGAGGTGTCATTACTTGTATCATCGCCAGCGATACCATGTAATCTTTGTGGTGAACATTTGCTGCTAGGTATGAACGCTAAACTAGATGTTATATCATTTGAAATATCAGCATTTAAAGATTCTTCCGTGGAAGATTCTCTATTGAGAGTTTCAACTACATTCACTTTTTCATCGTCACTCACTATATTACTCACTACAGCCGTTTCGGGAGCCACTAATGCTTCTTCAGACAAATTTTCACATTCTTCAGTATTATTCTCACTAGGATCATCAATTATTGCAGTTGCGAGTTCTTCAAGACACGAATT